ATAATATCCATACTCCAGGGCCATTTTCCTTCTCATATTCAATTTCATGCATGCTTGTATCAAGATTCCTTTCTTCATATCCTGTCACAGTATCAATCACTGCCTCCTGTCCACTCAATCCACTTTTGATTTATCAGCCGCCGTCTTTCTGGACTCCATAACTCGACCCAAACCATTTTAGCAAGACAGTGACAAATAGCACCCGGTATCACATCAACCTGTTCCACTTAGTAAACTAAGAAACAGTAACTGTGACATCTCTGCATAAGTATTCCATTCTATTCCCCAGACTGATGTATATTAATGAGACGGTATTTGAAATGCTTCTTCCACATCAGCATCTAATATGATCAAATTAGGAAATGGGATGATTTATTAAATTTCGTAGAGCTGAAATATTTCTTTATATCACTATATGTGTGGTTTCAGAAAGTGAGCTGTTGCTTTCAATTTTTCTGCTGAGGATGTGCCTGCATTTCACAGACGAATTATTGTCTTTAAAAAGATTGCAAGGAGGTGAAATGTTATTAAGCAAATGCTCAGTAAAACAAACTAAATCAGTTTTAAAATTCCTAATTTAATGTAAATCTTGGTTGTTTTGCTGAAATTCAGTTTGTGATCTTATTAAGTCATATTTGCATTGTACTACCTTGCTGTAGGACAGCTTTAAATTTATAGCATTACTAGAAAGCCCCACTTTTTGACTCATAAAAATAGATCCAAAATAAAATAATTACACTATGCACACATTTTATCTTCTAGTAAAAGTATAAAAAATTAGATTTAACTTACAAAAAACACAACAGCAACTCAAAATATTTTTTAGAGGCCAAACTTTTCAGATTAAAAATATTTAATGATTTCTCTTAAAGCTCTGTGAATGATTAATTCAAATAAAATACCTTTCTTGGAGAAGTTATTAAAAATTACATTCCAACCACAAATACTTTTACCAATATGTTCATTACCCCCAAAGACAAACTGTCGTAATTTGATGGGAAATTGCAGGGAGAAAAGACATTATGAGAAACAGAACTTGACATCCGGGTGACTTATTTCAAAAACAAATCTAACGATTTAAAGATACCATGTAAAGGATTTTAACGTCCAATATGAGACTAGTTGTCTGGTACATTCCCACTGGAAAACCAGAGCTGCTCGAGCCCCTTTTTTTTCCTCCCCCCCCCAGTATTCGGTAGATTTTATTCCCTGCCACTGTCAATTCAGAAGCAGGAGCTCTACAAGACTCCTTTGGCAGGTAACACGTTTCCCACTATGCTGATATAAGTTGGCTTCTTGAGTTACTTTTGGTAATTTTATTAGCTGTTAGTCTAAGTTTCTAGAAGTTGGTACTTCATGGAATTTTCTATTAAACTCATAAAACTATAAAGTTAATGAAAAGGTTAAAAGAGCTCCAAGATTCAATAACCTCATCCATGCATGCTCCAAAGACACAGGAGATACGAGAGTTCCATTAATTGGAGAAAACATAGGTTCAAGTCTCACATTTTAATACTAGGAAACAAAAACTACAATGAAATCATGCTCTGCAAAGCTATAATCACATTTGAAAAAAAAAAAAAAAAAAAAAAGCAGCTTATAAGCGACCACAGGAGAGTGCTAAAATGAGCTTTGGCAAATTCCCTGTTACTTGACCTAGGGGAGATAACCCCATCAATATTGCCATGGCTTCTGAAGCCACCTGAGTTTTGATTGATTTCTATTTACATATTTTTTTCAAACACTAGAGCAAATAATTAGAATCCATTTCCACTGTCATAAAAACTAGTCTTTACCATTACTTCTCCCAATGGCCCCCCTCTCAAGTGAGAGACACAAAAGTCCCGATAAATACAAAATACAAACCCCTCATCTTGCAATGTTTACTTTATCTACTGAGATCCTGAAAGTCTCTCTAAAAAAAGGAAAACTATATCTCTGTAAACATTCCGATGAGATCCTTGATACCTATTTATTGGATTTCACAATGTTATCACACCTCGGCAACAGCCAGGAAATTCACACTGACAAGAACAGCCAAAGACAATCTGAAATAAAGTACAACAGCTTCAACTGAGGAAAAACTGTGCACACCCAACGTGAGAGCCACTACAGCATTTCTTGGCTAACTGGGTCCACCTGAGAACACGGAGGAAGACAAAATCCTCTTGGTGAAGAGCAGCAAGAACAAAAATAAATAAAAGCTCTATAAAACAACATAATCTTCCAGAAAAATAATAATAAAAAAAAACCTTTCAAGAAGAAAATAAAGGATAACATATAGAACATTTCCATCCTGGGTTTAAAGAGTCAACTTCAGGCCCCAGTAGGGTTAAAAGAAGACTCCACCACAGCAGATGCAAAGTGGAGACTCTATTAGAACTGCTTCTGGCCACCCATTATAATGACTTCCCTCAAAGAAACCAAGGTTGGATGTGATTCTCCCACAAATCTCTCTCCTCTCCTTCAAAAACAATGTCAAAAACAAAGTTGGAGACTAAATTCTTTTAGACAAAACTGCAATAGGTCAGTTGGAGTCAGGTGTCTCTGCCTCGGTTCTGCTTACGTTAAGCTAATTTACCGTTGTGTAATAGAAGATACAGAAAAGCTAAGTTTAACAAATGGTTAATTACTATTTTACCTCAGAACCCTTTTTCCTAGATTCCCTTCGCCTTACCATTTGCAACCAGAAAAGTGTATTTACAGGTTGCAGTTGGCATTATTCTCTTCTTTGGCTCTTCCAAGTCTCTTCTCCAAACACCTCAGAGGTTCCTACATGTTCCCACCTCCATAGGATCATTCATCCTATTTCCAACCACGAGAAACGGTGCCCCGGCAGCTCCAGGCATGTTCCCGAGCAGATCACCACACTGGACGTGGAGCTGCCCGGCTACCCCCTCGCAGAGCCGGCACACGCGCTCCTCGCGCCGTTTCAAACCCACACACTATCTGCTTGCATCTAGTCGCCACACACCACCTACAGCACTTACCTTTAGAAATCATTTATGGAAGAAAACACACTGACCCATACCAAGTGTGGGAGTGGAAAAAAAAGTTATAGATGCCAAATTCCTATGAAAATTCCATAATACCAGTCCTTCTCACACAATGTTCATTTGAGAGCCTGGTCTCCACAGCCTCCAGCAGCAAGGAGCTCCAAGCTTAACGACACGGAACACAGGCAACTGTGGCCTTTCCCTCACCAGCAAACTTCACTTGAGGCCCCCAGAGCTCTTATACTGAAGAGCCTGTTCGTGTGCTGGTCAGCTTCTCATGATGTCCAGTTTATACCCCTGCATCAGCACTCCTTTCCCCCACAAGCTCTTTTCCTACCTGATAGAAAATGCACTCGCCACTCCTCCTAAGAAAGCTGTCCCATACCTCAGATCAGCAGACAGAGAAAGCCCAAAAAGGAGTCATTTAGCACCGTTACAACTGCCTCAATAAATGTGAAAAAAAAAAAAAAGCAGACCTTTGGTAGCAGCTTTCTGCAACCGATTTAACTCCTCCCCAGAAATTAGATTAATCCATGGCTTCATCATGGCTTAACATCACAGTAGAGCAAGCTTTTAAAAAATAAATAAAAATAAAACAGTCAGTGTGACCTGTTGGTTTTAGTTTTATGCTTTTAACATGGCAAAAGATCTTTTTTATATATATATAATATAAAAACATAATTTTATACACACACACACACGTTTTCTCTATGTTTGTGAATAGTAATATAATTTAAAGTTACCTGCAGCTATACCTTCATAGCTGGAGTACTGAAAAGCCACTGTATTTTATAAATAATATTTCACAGCATGAAATGAAATAAATGGCAGTCAAGTTAAATTTTTTAGAAGCATAATTTCCATATATTGCAGTGGCAATAAAGATCAATAAACACCTTGAAAAACATGATCAATAGTATATTAAACTAGGTGCAACAAGAACTGTCATTTAAATTCATCACACTAACACCAAGATCTTTAAAACTGGTCATCAGATTTTCTCTCTGTGTGCAACATACTGGAAAATACCTTCATTTTCACCTTTTTTCCTTCAACATGTCATTGTTTTAAAGGTGATTTTGATATAAAAACAGTAGATATATACAGGAATATTTCTACGCCCAGCTTGGTTGCCTACTCAGAAGGTTTGTAGGCTCACAGAGAGATCACACTGTTTGAATAACCAAATTGCTACTACAAAGGCACAGCAACAATAAGTGTCCAGGCAACTGTTATAATGAACAGCTGTGAATGAGTCAGGGGAGAATATGACCAGGAAAAAGTGAAATGCTTATGTCTTTCAACATCATTTTGAGGCAAAAATTCTACTGATTTGGTAAAAGATCACACGGTTTTAGTAAATTCATGATATACGAACCTACCCAGCTGAAGAACTATATACAGATACCAAAAAAGCTTCAGCCTTCCTGGTATTTATCACTCAGCAATGGATTTCAACAGAAAGAAATGATAGTGATTAATATGCACAAATAATAAAAAAAATCTGTTTTCAACACTAGAGATTTCTATAAACACTAGCTAAAATCTTTGCAACTATCCTTATTTCTTCAAGAGAACTGTAGAGGAGTAAGTCATAGTCAAGCCTCATCTTCAGCAAGCCAATACTGTGCACTGATTTAACAGAAAGTTATAATCAAAAAACATCCCAGATTTTTTTTCAGGTGATTATAGTTAGAAGAAACTAGAATGACCTTACCAGTTTTCTGTATGTGTACAAATGCAAAATACATAGTTTATCTTCAAATCCAATTGTGTCATCAAAGATATAGTATATCAAAAACATAGTACAGAGATTTCATGAATCAGGAAAAGCTTCATATTACGTGTACAGGTTAGATAGAATTAATATTTAAAATTCCTGTGTTTGGAATCTGCTGGAATGATTACAAGTGATCTATCCCATACATGTATTTTCATTTCCTTTCCTAGAGGGGAGGGAAAGGGAAAAAAAAAAAAAAAAAAAGAGGAAAAAAGGAATCTTACCTTCTTGTTCGACTCTTTGACCTTGATCTTTGAGACCTGTAGGATTTTCCTCTGCCCCTTGACCGGCTACGACTGCGTTTTCTTCTAGAGCCATATGAAGAACTGCTGCTGGATCTGTGTCTGCGTCTAAAACAAGACCATGCTGTTAGCATGCTGCTGCTTCTAAGGAGCAATGTTTACTCTTGGAAAGGGTATTAAAAAATTATAAATATATTATTTGTATTGCAGGTTCTGTGTCAACGTATACCACTATTACACTGTGATTTATATACATATGAGTAGTGCCTATCTTAAAGAACATATACTGTAGAACCAATATTCCAAGGCAGAAAGGGCAGAAGAAAGAAATTATCTATTTGCCCCAAATCATACAATGCTTTAAGGGCAAATCCAGGAACACAACCCAGCTCTTGACAGCTCATGAGTAATTTGAGGGTACTCACTGCCTCTTTGCCAAAGTTAAGCTAAGAGAAACATTTAGACCCACATTCTCAGCAGGACTTACAGAAACATGCTGTACAGATCTCTTTTCAGTATAAAGGACCACAGATCCAGCACTAAAAATGAACTTCATGAAATGTTAGCTTTCACCCAGCCACTCTCGACTGGAAAGGATTAACAGGTTAACCACTACAGATCAGGTCTTCACCTGAAAGAGGAGTGCAATAATCCTACCAAATGAACATGGAGAAGTACTTGGAGAGATTTTTTGATTTTTTTTTGATTCTTAAGGGTCAGAGACAAACCTAGCATGGCCACAGTGCATTACAGTGACTCAATGGCTGATAACAAGTGTCCTACACTAAGGACCAAGCAGAAGTGTTGGCCAGATCCTAAAAACAGGAACTTTGGTCTTTTCTGGATTAAATTCAAGTCAACTGGTCTTCATCCAGACTCTAATCTCCCTTCAAGCTCTGTTTTTATCTGTGAGATAGCCATGCCTGCACTGGACTAAAGAGATTCATAAAGCTGCATGTCATCAGCATATTGTTGGCATCAAAGCCCGTGTCATCTCACAGTGTCCCCTAAGGGCTCTATGTAGATGCTAAGCAGAAACAGAAGAAAGAGGGAAGGAGAAAAAAACCACACACAGAACTAGCCAACTTGCCCCTTACCAATCCCTCCCTCCTACCAACCAAAGAAAGGTTGGTCAGGAGCAGTTTCCAATGTTTTCCAGTACACCTAGACATGCTAAGTATTTTCTAGCACCAAGTTATAATTCTAGCACCAAATTATTGTCCATCAAGTGTTCAGTTTGAATCCAAGCCCACTTTGGATGCACCTTTTCTCATAAGAATGGGAACGAGACTGGAGCTCTCGAGACCGCGACCTCGACTTCCTTCCGCCCTTCTTGCGGCTGTAGCTTCTGCTGTCCGAGGAGCTGCTCGACGACGAGCGCCTGCGATGCTTCTTCTTCCTCCGGCTCCTGGTCTCCTCCTCTGTGTCTGACGAGCGACGCCCCATTTTTAAACTGTATATAAACAAAAATCCTAAACTGTAAGAAAAGCTTGTGTGTCCACATTGCATTATATAATAGTATCTTTATATTGTTTATATCTTTACGTGTGCATCTTTATACACGTAAGAACAATATCTTTTTTATGTGGGCAGGAAATTTGGGGATTGCATTTAAACACTAATCTTTTCATAAAATATCGTAAATCTCAGATTGACAAGTAACTTGAAATTTACCCTGTTGGTAAATCTACAGAAATTTATTATGGCATTGAATATTTGTTCTAAACTTTCTCAAAAGGGGTATCTCAATTATTTAAACACAAGCAAATACTTCCATAAAATCCATTACTATATCAAAACACGTTTTCCTTCAACTCACTTGTACGTTTTATACATAAATATTAAATTTTCAGAAACGTGTCACACAAATACTTCCAATATCTGAAATTGCATGCTGCGGCGATATGCAGTCATTGTTACCGTATATTTAATGTTAAGTTAAAGGAGGATTATTGTGTTCATTGCATAGTCTGAAAAATACAAGTAGTCAGTTACATGAGCAACTGAAATCAACAACTACTTGTTCTTGCCCATTATGTATGTATGGCTTTCTTTCTACTTGTCAAAATATCCTTTTAGAAAATATTTTCTAGATAGCTATTTTAAATCCTTTCTCCCCCCGCCCCCCTTCATTACAGCAAGGCCAGTTTCAGTGCTTAGTCTAAACAGTCAACTTTAAAAGGCTTTACTTACTTTGCCAATAGAGTCGTAAACAAACAAAAAAAGCCTGTACACTGCCATTCATTTAGTTCCTTCAAGGATAATTTTCTTTTCTTGGTTTGCAAATCATAAGAGATCAGTTTTATTACCGTCATCTTCTGAGTAAAGAAATGTTTTGTTTTGTTTTTTTCAGCATTTAAAAAAGTGGATAGTCTTAAAAGTGTTTTTTGATTCAGCACCTGTAGCTCTGCCATCCAAGTCACAAGATCCCTCCTCAAACACTTTTAACTAGCAAGAAGCCTTCTTCCCAAGAATAAACAGTTATTTTGGGGCTCGCTAGTCACTTCTGTACTAGGAAAACTGGAACCTGTAGTTCTTCAATGTTCATATCAACAGTGAAACTGGATGATATATTTCACCACAGCGTCATCTGTCTTTAACCAACAGAGACATATTTGGGGCCCTCACACTCCTAGCAGATGCAAGTTTTCCTCATACAAACTTTGGCCCTTCTTCATACCTTTTAGCACCTTGGCACAGATCCTGATCTCCAGGGCAGAGGCTGAAAAGGGAACAAGAGAGAAAAATCATTACATTTATGCTTATATACAAATATACGTGCAATCACCGTACATGGACACCTCGGACACCCCTGCAGATTTGGCACTCACCACATCAGCGCACCACAAACCACATTCCCAAGGGAGTTTTCCTTGTAGCTACGTTCCAAGTTTAATACATATACAGACAGCACTGAATTTCACAGAATATCAGTTAAAAGCAAAGCAAGCCTGCAGGGGAAGCTCTGGCCACAACACACTGCGTGACTTCTACTGCATGACTTGCATTTTGTCCAATAACATGCGAAGCAAACCCAAACTAGCAGATATTTGGATATTCTTTGGTGTTTACAAGAGTTTACCTATTATTCCAACCAACAGGACAGCTACGTAATTCCCATTCCCACGCATCCAAACTCTGCAGATCACACGTGGCTCTCAGGCACGCAATGTGGTGCTGCCAATCCCTCTCCTGCAGTCTGGAGGGCCAACAGATTAAACATGAGGAAGCTTTGCCCCCTTCCTCCTACACCCACCCCAGGCCTCAGCAGTCTCACTTTTCAGTGCACTGGGACTGGGCACTGAGCTAACAATTCAAGCAAAGCATTTCTGAAATATTCAGCCAAAACCAGCAGAGCTCCGTGCACCCAAACTGGCAGAGCTTTAGAAAGATGTTACACTGTGCAAGATCATCTTTAAAAGCAACATTTTATTATGAATGTCCTAAAGTTAATCCACTCAGCTTTTTGAGAAGATAAAAAAAAAAAGCATAACTTCACAGAACATTTCATGTTATTTATATAAATACAACACTAATTTCTAACTCTGTGGAGGAAGGTAAACTTTTATCAACACATTATCTTGTGCTGGTACTTATTTTTTTTCCCCACTACTAGTAAACACTTTACAGAGCTCTAAGTTACCACCACTTACTGAACAGTAAAATAAGACTCTTTAAGTACGTATTAATAGAACTATCTTCAAATGAAGATGAACCTGAATCTCGAACTTAAGTAGAGCTGTTCATAAAGATAAAACCACAATGCACGGATTTTAAGTTAAAAGCTCACAAACCAAGGTTCACGACAGCAAGATTAATGAAAGAGAGCAGAGAAACACGGAGTCCTTCTGCTGAGACATTCACCGCTTGAAGTGGATATCATTATGAGCCAGAACATTACACTTCAACATATATATCATCTCTTGTTTAACTTCCTTCTTCATCTGCCATCAGTTTGTTGGGTTTTTTTTCCCCCACTTGGACACATAAGCAGCATACTGAGTACTGTGTAAATCTCAGCATGCGCTGGGCTTTTTTACCAGGCGGCCAGGGCACACAGGCAGGACCCTTCTCCTTCCCACAGCCTCCAGCCCAGCAGTCCTGGGAAGCGCCAGCTGCTCCGTGGAAGAGCTACGGGACACAGGGATGCGGACACAGGGATGATCTCTAGAGGTCCCTTCCAACCTTGAATATTCTGTGATTCTGTGGGTGACAGCTCGTTGAGGGGGTCACCTGGAAAGAGGCTGCCAGCAGCAGGCTGGTGGTCTGGGGACAATACCTACCTCTCACAGGAGGATATCTTTGGGCACAGAACGCACTTGGACACATCACACAAGCCCCACATCAGCACTTGGAAGTACCCACAGACCAAGGACATAAACTAAGAATGCTCAGACCACCCTAATTTTGTTATTTCCCACCTGTCTGAAACCAGACTAGCCATTAAAACACAGGGTATCCATGCTTATCCATATATCCCTATGCACCCTTATATCACTTTCTATTTTTTCTAAAAAGCACGCTACAAAAATATGACTCTTTACATGGCCTCATATGCTGAAGCTCATGGGCTTTTTCTAACCCTATGTTCCAGGTCAAAGGCTGTAGATGCCCCACAAGGACTTCTACCTCTGAGTTAAGAGAGGTGCAGTTAAACTGTGCTTGCAGTAGGTGGTTCACGCTGGCCAACCCCTCCTCCTTACGTGCAGACCCCAGGAGGATGAGGGTCTCATGGCTGGGGAGGCAGCGAGCCAGCAGCTGCGTGTTTACCATTCCCCAGCACGTCTGAGCACCTGCAGGCCAGCAGCGGCCTGGGTGCTACCAGCTGCATCACATTAAAGTAACTCCCAGTAACAGCAGTGATCTTTTGTTTGCTTTTCTAAATCTTGACTACAGAGCAGTACTCGAAAGAGGCACAAGCATTATACTAGCAACTGCTGGCAGCAGATGAACGGCAGGTTGCTGAAAGCACAGGTTTTATCCCAGACTTCTACAGAAAAGTTTCTCCCAACCCTCCCATCAGAGCAGCTCACACTGATTCCCCTCTCATCCCAGATGTTCCCTCCTGGAGCTCCATGTCCAGTCTCCCTGTGCCTCCTCACCCTCTGCTGAGCCCAAATCAAGCTGCTCTGGCCAAACAGGAACACAGAGCACAGCAATGCTGTCTCAAGACATGAGGACCTCTGGCAGCTGCACTCACAAAGCTGGGCCATCAAATTCATCAGCTACTTAACTATTTCTGAAAGCTCCATAAACGTACATAAAACAATTTTTTGAAGGATTACAGTCTGTCCAAAACCATATAGCTTCTCAGTAGGATGAGCTGTTAATGGCTGGACCTGGTAAGTCCAAGATTTCTGCTTTTCAGCACAGGCATGCTGGAGTATCCAAAAGAAAGGTCTCCTGACACTTTTGAAATAAGTTTTCCTTTGAAAAGTTATAAATATAAATATATATATAGGAAACTGCTATTTTGGTTTAAAAAAATGCTAAGAAAATAACAAGTAAAACAGGAAGTGAGGAAGAGGTGTTCTTTTTAAACACTTTTCAGAGCAAGCTACACGTTACAGCGTAATAATCATATAGACTGACCTGACCTTGCCCAGTCTTGCTTTACAGTTTCCAGAATTATTTCAACTATTTCGCAGCAGTCTCCGACCCCACACACTCTTTATGTGGCCCCTCTGCAAACGAGGCCCCTGAAAAAAGCCCCACCGGTCACACAGGCACCTTCTATCCCAGGAAGGCAGGGAAACGACTGTTCTTGTGAGCCACAGCCTGACTTGCTGTTAAACACCTACCTAGTGGCCTCCTGTTTCCTTAGTCAAGTTCACAGACCAGCACAGGAGGGGCACTTATATACAGCTACCATAACCGGGGATCTTAGGAAAGAGAAACAAAACGATTAAAGGCCAAAGAACTGCAGAAAGTCAGCTACTACCCTCCGGTATCCGCCGCAGGAGCGGCATTCCAGCAGCACTGCAGGTGCCACAACACTGCGCTTTGGTTAAATAACGGATTTTGCTTAGACAACGTCACCGGCATCATTCAAAACCACCCGTTTTGCACCTGCAGAAAGGTTCCTTGGATCCAGCATCGCAGATGCGCAGCTTTCGGTCGCACCCCTCTGGATTTGAGGGCCACACGCAGAGAAGCAGCGCCAGGCCGCGGGGACACCCCGTGCCCGGGAAGGGCCCCGCGCGGCTCGGAACCGCCACGAGAGCCGGGACACAGGGCGCGCGGAGGCAGCGGCGGAGCCCGCAGCCGGACCGGGACCAGACCGGGACCGGGACCAGACCGGGACCGGGACCGGGCCTAGGCCTGGGCTTGGGCCTGGGTGTCACCATGGCAACGTGGGCCCGGCCCGGCGCCTCTGGGGCCCGAGCCCCTCGCGGTTACCTGAGCGCTGCGGCGGCCCAGTCCGGCTGTGCTGTGCCGGCCCGGTTCGGCTCCACGCGGTCCGGCCGGGCTCTATGGGCCCAGCCCTACGCGGCCCGGTTCGGCTCCACCGCGCGGCTCCGGGCCCGCGGCTGCCGCTTCGAGCGCAGCGCCGCGCTGCGCAGGCCGGGCAGGCAGCGCCAAGCCACCGCCGAGCGCACCCACGCGGCCAGGCAGCGCGGCGGAGCGCAGAGCTATCGATGGAGCCCCGCGCAGGGAGCGGGACAGGGACCGGGACCCCCGGGGTGTCGCCTCCCCCCGGCCCCCTCCCAGCGTCGCCCTCCCGCCCTGTGCGGCCGCACGCGCCGGGACAAGCCCGGGGGAGCCAGGGGAGCGCGCGCCGTGATTAAACCCTCAGTGATTTATTTGCAAATTGCCCGAAAACGCCGCGTTTCGCCGTCCCCGGGGGCGGGGGGCGCCGCTCGACCTGGTTTCCCGGCGAGGGGGCTTGTTCCGACCCTGGGGGCGGCGGGGCGGGGAGAGAAAATGAAATTTATAGTTTTTCATTTAAGCCCAAAGTAATTAAAGCGCCTCGCTGGGTCCCGGCGGGCTCCGAGGGGATGCGACCCCCCCCCGCTCCGCCCCCCCGGACGCCCCCCCGGACGCCCCCGTGTCCCCCGGGGGCCGCGCGCGCCGAGCGCCGCGACGCGCGTGGGGCCGCGGGGGCGGCGGGACCTGACGGGGCCCCCCGGGGACTCGGGACCCGCGGGGGGATTTGCGGCTCCCCCCGGCCCTCCCGGCCGCGCGGTCCATTAGAAGTCGTTGGTACCGGCCCCGCGCGCGGCGCTGAAGTCGCGTAGCGAGCCCTGGTTTCCCCCTCTCCCCCGCGCAGTGCGACCCCTCTCAGCACCCAAAATTGTCACCGGGAAGGACTGAGGGGACCTGCTCTGGCTACGTGAAGCGCTTAAAACAGTATTATCATTATTATTATTATTATATTAATATAACATTATCATTATCATTATTACTATTCATAAGACACAATTCCAAGTAAAACGGTGCGCGGGCGCGCAACAGCGGGCTGGGTGCGGAATCCGCTTGACAGTGACCGCCGCGTCGCCTAATGTCACCCGCGCAGAGGTCAAACGGGAAATCAATGCCCGGGCAGGAGTTAAGCAATTCTGAATAATTTATTAGAGCCCGGGCGAGGGTGCAAATAGACGCGCTGCGCCCTGGAAGCGGCGGCTTCCACCGGCCGGGAGGAAAACATCGGAATTGGCCTCGGAGAGCGTAATTCCGCCTAACGCGGCGCCTCGATTTGCGGCGCGAGGAAGCGCTAATGATGCGCGCGTGCCGCTGTCAATGAGGCGGCGATTTCCGCGGGGTTTGCGCGGCCCCGCGGGAAGTTTGCGGGCGCTGCGCGGGCGCGGATGCTGCGCGCCCCCTCCCCCCCGCCCGCCCTTGTCGCCGCCGCCTCCCGCTCTGGCCACTCCCCCGCAGCGCCGGCCCCGCTTCCCGGGACCCTCGCGCGGGGAACTAATTAAATTAATTAGGGCGGCGCGCGGCGGCGCGGAGCGGCGCGCGCCCTGGCCGCAGTGCCCCGCGGCGGGCGGCGCGGCGCGGCCGCGGACAAGGGGGCTCCGCTGGGCGCTCCGAGGGGAGGTAATTCCCGGGAACGAGGGGCCGGCTTTGCAAAGTATAAATAGTGCCACTTCCAGCGGCGCGGCACTATCGGAGCCCGGCGCCGGCGCGCACGTCGGGCGGCGCAGCCGGGAGCCGCGCAGCCCGCATCCCGGCACGGCTCCGCGCATCCCGGACCCGCGCATCCCGGCTCCGCGCATCCCGGCTCGGCGCATCCTGCCGCCATCCCGCGCCGTGGATGCGCGCCCGCGGGGGCGAGCGCGGCCGCTGAGGCGCGGCCATGGAGGAGCTCACGGCCTTCGTCTCCAAGTCGTTTGACCCCAAGGCCAAGGAGAAGAAGGAGCTCATCACGTACCGCGAGGTGCTGGAGAGCGGCCCGCTGCGCGGCGGCCCGCGGGAGCCCGGCGGCGGCGCCGCGGCCGAGCCGGGCCGCGACGAGGCGGGCAGCCCCGCGGCGCGGGCGGCCACCGCGCGCTCCCCGCCGCGGGAACCCGACGTCGCCGCCGCCGACGGAGCCGCGGCCACCCCCAAGCTCAGCGACGGTAACGGCGGCACCGGCGCCGCGTCCTTCCCCGCGCCCCGTCGGCGCCCCGCGCGGGCGCCGCTTTTCCCCCTCCGCACCCGCGGAGCCGCGCGGGGAAACCGGAGCTTCCCGCGGCTGCCCCTTTTGTTGGGAGCCGGGCAAACGACTGGGGAGGAAAAATAAATCCTCGGAGGAACAAGCGCGGCGCTCCGCGCAGCCCGCCTTGCGGGGCGCGTTTCTTTCCCTCTTCCCCTCTTTCCTTCCTTCTTTATTATTAATATTTTGTTCAAAGGGCGGCGCGGGAGGCAACGCGCAGGGGCCGCCCCCGCCGCGAGCGCCGGTCCGGGCGCGGGGACGAGCGCCGGGAAGGAGCGCGGCCGCGGCGGGGCCTACGCGGCCGCTGCGCGCAGGCCGGGCCCGGGGAGGGGGCTCCGGGCCTGGGGCTGGGGCTGAGCCCCGCGGGCGCGCGCTGGCTCCTGCCCGCCGCGATATTCCCTTAAAAAAAGCGGTTATAGCGACGGAGGCCTCGCGCGTCCGCGGGAGGGATGGGAACGGAGGGGGGGGGGGTTCCCAACACGGTTTGACCCCCCCTCCCAAAAACCTTACGGGCCGCTCGGAGCCCCCTGACCGCCCCTTCCGTGCGCAGCGCCCGCGGAGCTCAAGGAGCGCAAGGAGGATGCGAAGGCGATGGAGGAGGAAGGGCAGGCGAAGATGAAGCAGCGGCGGAGCCGGACGAACTTCACCCTGGAGCAGCTCAACGAGCTCGAGCGCCTCTTCGACGAGACGCACTACCCGGACGCCTTCATGCGCGAGGAGCTGAGCCAGCGGCTCGGCCTCTCCGAGGCCAGGGTGCAGGTAGCCGGGCGGCCGCGCGGGGCTTCGGCCTCCTTCCCCCGGGGGAGGGTGCCCCCTTTTTCTTTTTTTTTTTTTCTTTTTTTTTTTTTTTTTCCTCCGTTTTCCGCTCTTTTTTACTCCTTCTCGCCCCTTCTTGCGGCGCCGCGACGGATGCGCCTCTTACCTCGCCGGCTGCGCGGCCGCTGAGCCCCGTTAGCGCCCAGGAGCGAAAATGAAATAAAAACGTGCCGTTTGCTCGTCGTGGTCCTTAAATGCGGAGCGAGGGAAGCGACGGGAAAGCGCAGGGAAAAGAATAATAAAATTAAATAGAAGCTCAGAGAGGCTTTTCTTCCGATCTGTGAAATACAGAAATCGGTAGCGGAATAACAACTAAAATAAATAAATAAAAGGGGCTGTTTAAAGCGTTCCCCTTTTATAGCGAAACCGCATCTCGCTTTTATTGAATCCGCCCGCGAAACCTCCCGCTGCCTCCCGAAAGCTGCTGGAGGAGACAGGACCCTCCCGCCCCAACCGGAACCAAATAGGGCTGTCGCGTGCATTTTTCACCCCTGAAAATTAAAAAAGAAAAGGGGAAAAAGAAAATAAGAGACAGAGGGAGCAACGGCGGGTGAGTCCGTGGCAGAGCCCAGGGAGCGGGCTCGGCCCCGCGCATCTGCGCTCGAGCGGGTCCCCCCCATCTCTGTGCCGCCACCATCTGCAGCCCGGGGGGGTCCCCGCCGCCCTCGGGGCAGCACTGAGCCCTAGGTCGTGAGAAGCAGCTCTGCTCACCGCCGGCGGAAAAAAAAAAAAAAAAAAAANAAAAAAAAAAAAAAAAAAAGAAAAAGGCATTTTTGAATTTATTTTCTTTACTCTCCCGTGCTTCTCGGCTTTATGCTGCCCCCAAATTAACCAAAACCAAGGAAAGTTGCACAGCTTCGAGTCCGCGATGGGGAGGGGGTGCAGAATGAGGAGGGAGGCGCCTCTTCCCGCAGGGGGTTTGCTCCACAAAGAGCCCGCGCTCGCGCGTAATCCGCGCTGCGCTCTGCAGAGCGCGGGCGCACAACAACGGCGGGACATTTACATACATTAGAGCAGTTTAAAAAAAAAAAGTTCCGCAAAACGCTTTGCAGTCATGTTTTTGTTTATTTTTGTGTGTGATTTTTGTTTGCTTGCTTTGTGATGTTTTTGTTTACTTGTTTATTATGATTATTTTATTCGCACCAGTTCGCGGTTGCTCGGGGGGGCACGGGCGGCGTGGCCGAAAGTAAACGACGGGGCGGGGGGAATCGCCTTTATATCCGTCTCCTGAAGAAAGACCTCAAAAGAAGAAGGAGGAAAAAAAAGGAATTTCTTATTCCTTTTTAATTTTCCCCTTTGACTGCTCAGCAAGGAAAAGTGCCGCGTGGAAAAGGCACGCGGGAAATGCCCCCCTCGCGGGAGAAGCTGCTCTCGCCGCCCTGGCGAGGCCAGTAAATTCAATTATCATGAGAATGAGACGATTATTCCGCTCCCGCGCCACCCTCTGCTGCGCGCGGGGACGGGGAGGTTGTGGGCCGCGCTTGTGGCAGTGATGCCCCCCCCAGAAGTGTCTCCTTAAACGCTTCAGTCTTGGGATTTTAGTCGGTAACGCTAATTTAAACGGCAGCTCCTAACGAGTGTGCTCGGTGCAGACCCGCGGGCGCGGGGGAAGCGCGGAGTTTGGGGAGCGAGAGCGGATGAAACCGCGGCTAAAATCGCCCCGCTCCGGGCCTGGAAGCTCCTCTCGGGTGTTTTATTTGTATTTTACCGTTTTTTATGGGGCTGCTTCCTCCCCGTGGCGGCGCGGGGGGGCGGGCCGGGCCGGGCCGGGCCGTGACCCCCGTCTCGCTGTGCGCAGGTTTGGTTCCAGAACCGCCGCGCCAAGTGCCGCAAGCAGGAGAACCAGCTGCACAAAGGTGGGCGCCGCGGGGGAGGGAACGGCCGCCCCCTCGGGGGCTGGGATCGGGGAACGAGAAGCGAGCCCCAAGGGACGGGGGACAGGGAACATGGGGACTCGCTGTTCGCCCCCTCGGGGGAAGCCCTCGCGAGGGACGTGCGGCTGCTCCTGGGGGGGGAAACACGTGCCGGGGGGTGCGGGGAGGTGCGGGCCGCCCCCTCGGCTGTTGCGGGGGGTAAAGCGCGTCCCGCGGGGAGGCTGCTCGGGGAGCAAGGGAGGGGATGGGGGCAGCGGAGGAGGCGGCGGCGGGGCCGGGCCGCCCCGTCGCGGCCGCGGCTGAGCGGAGCCTCTTGCAGGGGTGCTCATCGGAGCCGCGAGCCAGTTCGAGGCGTGCCGGGTGGCGCCCTACGTGAACGTGGGCGCGCTGCGGATGCCCTTCCAGCAGGCGAGTGCGGCGCGGGGCGGGCGGGCTGCGGGCGCGGGGCGGCGGGGACGGGGACAGCGGCACCTCGGCGGGGCCCTAACGCGCTGTCTCCTCTGCTTTGCGCCCCGCAGGACGGCGCCTGCAACGTGCCGCCCTTGTCGTTGCAGGTGCAGGCGCAGCTGCAGCTCGACGGCGCCGTGGCCCACGCGCACCCGCACCTGCACCCGCACCTCGCGGCCCACGCGCCCTACATGATGTTCCCCGCGCCGCCCTTCGCGCTGCCGCTCGCCGCGCTCGCCGCCGAGTCCGCCTCGGCCGCCGCCGCCGCCGCCAAGACCACGAGCAAGAACTCGAGCATCGCCGACCTGCGCCTCAAGGCCAAGAAACACGCGGCCGCGCTCGGCCTGTGACGGCCGCCCCTCGCCGCGGACTCCGGGCGGCGCCACGCGCGGCCACCGCGGCCCGAAAGAGGGGGGACTCGCCCCCGTCCGCCAGGCGGATCTGCTTATTTATCTGCTTATTTAAAAGAGTCGGAGCGACGGGACGCGCAGCTGGGAAGTTCACTTTTTTTTTTTTTTTTTTCCCGTGTGTGTGTGTTTTTTATTTTTTTTTAATTATTATTATTCTGCGGAGTTCACTTTAATACGAGACATTTGATAAGAGAGGCGGGCCTCCTTTCACGTTGCTTCCGATGGACTCGAATCTCACAGCAGCCTCTGGGTTGGTGACAACAAAAAGGAAAAAAATAGAAAAAAAAAAGATTAAAAAAAGACGAAGAATAAAAAAAAATAAAAAGGAGAGGAAAAAAAAAAAGAGACACTGCTTTCTCCGCGCATTTCTAATGGGAAAACTGTCCGGGATGCTTCCTGCAGCACAATTCCGGTTGCATGTATTTGTATTTCATTGATGGAGTCCTTTGATTCACTTGCACTTCACCCTCATCTTTAGTAGAGAAAAAAAAACCAACCAAACAAGACAAAACAAACAAATGTGACTGGGCTCTTCCTCCTTTAATCCCGGAGGGAAAAGGGAAGAGCGAGACGGAGCCTTTCCCTCCCCGGCTCCCCGCCGCTTGCTCGCTCGCTTGCTCCTGGGGCGAAAAGAGAGGAAAAACGAAAGGAAAAGAGCATTTCCCCCCCAGCACCGCTGTACACAACGGCGAATTGCAGAGAGAGGTACTAGGTACATGTAAAATATGTTGATACACACGAACAAAGTTTATTTTGGCTATAACATGTGAATTGATAGTTGACTGTTAAACATTTACATTTTATCTCATAAAGGTGTATCTATTCACGTAATCTTGTGATTTTTTTCCGGTTGGTTGGTTTGGAAGACGTTCTAGCTGTTGAGGCCGGGGCGCGGAGCTCGCTGCCCCGGCGCGAGGAAAGCTCTTCCGCGCGCACTGCGGGGCGGACGGGCTTTGTATCGATTTGTTCTCCATGAAAACAAAATTATTTATATTGACCATATTTTTTCTAGTGTATTTTAAGTTATTTAAAAAAGAAAAAAAAAACGGAAAAAAAAGATGCTGTTATTTCATTACATTTGTTGTCAGTACAATATATTTTGTTTCACTCAGGTTTGCTTCACTTTTGTCAATCCCTTCCCGACGGCACGAGTGTTAATCCACGGGCCAGGCGCGATGTCCCCGCTGCAGGCGACGCTGCGGCGGCTCCCGCAGCTGTTAAATTGTCGCGGATTTTCCTCCTTTCTCTTCCCTTCCGCGTTTAAACCCGTCCGCGTTTCTTGCGCGCAATCTGCGGCAACGACGAGGGGCCGCAGCCCCCCCGCGCCTATTTAGCTGCTGCTTTATACGAGTTTCCCGGGGTTGCGGCTTCATAAAACTTAACGCGACGGTTTAATTCGCCTTATTAATTTAATTTATTGCAATTATTACTTGTGAGAGAGCGGGCGGCGGCGAGGAGCGCGGCAGCGCTCGCGTCCTTCCAGCTTGCGCCCGTTCCCGGGGCCGGTGGGAAGCGAGGTCGGGAAGCGCGTCCCGGTGTCCCCGCTTCCCGAGGCGGCTCGGCCGGGCCGGGAGCGCCCTCCGCAGCCCCGAGCGGGGACCGAAGCGGGGCTCGTGCCCGAAAAGCGCCGCTTTCCAACCAAGATGCGGCTGGTGCTCGAGTCAGTGCAAGCCACGGTGCTGCCGAGCGAGGCGGTTAATGAGCAAGGGCGCAATTAGCTCCTGCGCAATTAGCCTGTCACACGCGGACGGTCCTGGGCAGGCCCCGGTGCTGCAGCGCGCAGGGCGCTGCGATGCACCCGGCAATTGCAGCAAGGACAACGCTGCAAAACACATGGAAAAGGCACTTCTGTCGCAGCAGAGGAAGGAAGGGGACTGGAGGATACACTGTGTTGTTCAGCTCAGCTGTAATTAAATAAAATGGGCTTAGCAGGGTGGTTTTGGACAGGGATATTGACATTCCTGGCTTCCCTGGATAGGAATGCCTCACAAGCGCCGGCCTGCAGAAGTTGGCCGGATCGCTCCTGATTCTATTTTATTTCTTAGAATGCCTGAGCTCACACACACACAAAATAGAGGCTTCACGAGATTTAACTGTGGATATTTAGCTGCCGACACAGGCACAAGAGGCGCTTCCTGCAGGTTGCCCTGGCGCACAGGACACACACGGAGATGCGTGTGGCATGAGGAGAGGGCAGGATCACACAGGGGCAGCAGCTGCTGTGGGCACCGCTCGTTTTCAGCTTTGTTTCCATAAAAGAACACTTAGAATAGAGAGAAAAAAATTAAATAGCTATTTTACCCAGTGTAAGCAGTGCTTTTTTTTTTTTTATTATCCCACTCTTTTTTTTTGTTTTAAAGCCCATCAAACTGTGCTAAATGTGTTGTATTAAACTGGTGTACCCAATATTGTTCTTTAGCAGCTCAGCTCATGGATCTGGGCAAGAAGCACTTGTCCCTCGGAGTGCAGCCGTCCTAGGAGCAACTGGTAGCCAAATATCAAAGAATAAATAGCGCATTTTCATTTGTAGCAGTGCTGAGTCCTGCCATTGTAATTAGTGATATTCGTCCAATTTTATGGCAGTTCCCACCTCGCTCCCCCTGTAACTGTCTCTTTCTCACCACCCCATTGCCCAGTTGCCCTGCTGGGGAACAGCAACGGGGCAAGGCGAGCGCTAAGGGCGCAGCGTCCGCGCGCTCCCACATCTGCATCACTGCTGCGCCTTGGAGGGGAGCGACGAGCCTCCGAAAGGGTCGGGGCTCCCGTTAACCTCAGACATCCCGGCTGCCTGGCCCTGGTTTGCCCTGCAGTGTCCTTGGAAACACGAGTGGCTGCTGCTCGCTCCGGGCAGTGCGGATGTGCCGCTTCGCGTGCTTCACAGGCTACGATATCTGCAGAAATAAAGACCAGTTTTCTACACCCCAAGTCTTGCTAAGTCCCCTAACAATAGTTAATTAGTTATTTTTATTTAGATTTTTTTTTTTTTTTTTTTTTTGGATGGGAGGAGGACTCTTGGGATGCTGTGCAACCTGGAAGGGAGAACTTTGGCTTTGTCTGCTGTCGCTTTGGTGTCACCACAGGCCGAATTCCCTGCTTCTTCTGTCAGATAACATCCACCCAAATGGGGTTGGCCTCCTCTTTCATTAGCCCGTTAACCCACCCCTCCTTCTGTAAATCTGAATGCCGTGGCTACGATGCGACGCGGTGTCAGCGACCTCCTCTCACGTGGGCAAAACTCGTGGTGGTGGAAGTGTCGGCAGCGACAGCCACGCCAGGACGCGGCACCCACCCGTGTCCGGCAGCGGTGACGTCCTCTCCCGGCCATCCCGGCACACGGAGCAGCGGAGCCACCCCCGGGAACGGCCCCCAAGGCCCCGGCACCTGCAGCAGCTCCCGGCGCATCCCTGTGCTGGGCAGGGGACCCGCCAGGCGCCCAGGGCCCATCAGGGTCTCTGGGGCACCGTTTCGCTGTGGGATGTGTGACGTGTGGCTAACTTTAGCAAGCAGACAAATATACTCTTTTTTATATATACAAAAATGTAAATAAAGTATTCTGGAAACAAAATGGAAAGCCTCTGAAAGGTTAACTCCAGGTCAATGGGAAGCATGTGTAAATGCCACTGCTGTCCCTGCTCGGGAATATCCATGTGTGCAGCTCCTGGCTCTGTTGGCTGCTGCGGGGATTGTGCTGGGGTGAGGACACAGCCCAGAAGAAAGCAAGGGCCGGAATTAAAGCATATATACAGAAATAAGTGTATTTGCTACCCCCATCCTCCAGTTTTAAATGACCATAATTATTTGAAATTAATTAAAAGCAATACCATGGATGCAGCGTATATGCCAGTTATCCCGGATTTGTGCAGCTGGGGAGCAGGCTGCTGGTCCGCAGCGGGATGGGGGTTTCACTGATGGGGGATTTCACTGACATGGTGTTTCCTGATACCCATCCACGGGTCACCCACGAGCGGCCGCTGTCTCTGCCTTTCCCGGTGGCAGGGACACCGGAGGGCTCCCGCGCGGCGCCGTTGGGTGGAAACGCGTGGAATTTGTCACTCTGCTCCCGGCTGCTGCCAGAAACCGGCAGCTCAGTGCAGCTAATGCTGCGGTCACTGAATTCTGCTGCAACACGCGGCAGCATCGGCTGAGCTGCAGCCGGGCTGGAAAGCACCGGGTTCACAGAATCCCAGAATCCAGAATCATTAAGGTTGGAAGGTTTCACTTGGTGGTGGTTGCACCAACCACTATGGGATCTTCTGGGGCTTCTAGGGGAGATCTTAGGGAAGAAAGCGAGAAATGCCGACGTTCAGGCACATCCCTCATATTGCTGGGCAGCCAGGGAGCATCCTCATAGATGCTCTTGTCCTCTCGCAGGCCATGCTCTTCACTAAAACATCCCCAAAAGCTATTTAGATCTGTTTTTTTCTCCCCAGTTCCTCTCCTCTCCTCTCCTCTCCTCTCCTCTCCTCTCCTCTCCTCTCCTCTCCTCTCCTCT